CCCCCCCTTCCCCCGTTATGCGTGATTGCCACTTACGGCCCCGTAAAATTTTCTAAGTGGAATTCGAGTAACTCGGGAATTGAGAAAGCTGGGAACCTGGGATTTCAAGGGAATTTTCACTGTTCAAGTATAGCGTGGATTATTAATTACCCGAACTTCGAGGACCAGTATGTGCAAGAAGTTTCTAGCTAGCGGAATTTCGATTGATTATGCGTTTTTGCGTAATGTGCAAATGCGAAAACGCATACTGCGACGACCCCCGTGTGTGTGTGCGTATGTGTGTGTGTGTTTGTGTGCGTCTGTCCGGCTATTTCAACTCGGCACCCAAGCAAGCTCCGGTGCCAAAATTATGCGAGTGGGTTCCCCGGCCAGGTGCCACCCCAGGACCGTGGTACCAACCCTCCAGCACGTCTAAGCCCCGCGTACGAGCGCCTCGAAGTTTTGGCGGGAAAATCGCTAACTCAAGAACTAGAAAAGCTAGAAGGCTGAAATTTTGGGATTATGTTTCCAGTCCAAGTAGGACTCAAAGATTTCAAATTCAGCCCCCGGGGGTTCGTGGTTCCCGCGTACGGCCCCTTGAGAGTTCCTGGCGCGAAAATCGCTAGCTCGGGAACCAAGGGAGCTGCAAGGCTGAAACTTTCAAGATATGTTCCCAGCTTACCTATAACTTCAATTCATCAAATTCAACCCCCCGTCATTCGTGATTGCCACGTACGGTCCCGTGAAAATTTTTGGCGGGTAAATGAATAACTCCAGATCCAGGGAAGCTGGGAGGCTGAAATTTTCAGGAAATGTTCCCAACTCACCTACAACTGCAATTTATCAAATTCAGCCCTCCGCCATGCGCGGTTGCCACGTACGACCCCGTGAAAGTTTTTGGCGGGAAAATGAATAACTCCGGAACCAGGGAAGCTGGGAGACTAAACTTTCGGGTAATGTTCCCAACTCATCTACAACTTGAATTTATCGAATTCAGCCCCCTGTCATGCGTGGTTGCCGCGTACGGCCCCGTCAAAAGTTTTTGGCGGAAAATGAATAACTCCGGAACCAGGGAAGCTGGGAGGCTGAAACTTTCAGGAAATGCTCCCAACTCATCTACAACTTGGATATATCGAAGTCGGCCCCCCTGGCACAAGTGTTTCGGGCGTACGGCCTCGCAAAATTTTTTGGCGGGAAAATGGCTAACTTGGGGGCCGCGGGACCTAGGAGGCTGAAATTTTGAGGACACTCTGGAAGCAAGCTGTA